ATGACTATATACCCATATCCTCTCTATGACTATATACCTATATCCTCTCTATGACTATATACCCATATCCTCTCTATGACTATATACCTATATCCTCTCTATGACTATATACCTATATCCTCTCTATGACTATATACCCATATCCTCTCTATGACTATATACCCATATCCTCTCTATGACTATATACCCATATCCTCTCTCTGACTATATACCCATATCCTCTCTATGACCATATACCCATAGCCTCTCTATGACTATATACCAATATCCTCTCTATGTCTATCTACCTCTTTGCATATGTTCTGTCTTTCTCTAGCTGTCTAACTCACTGCACTTTATCTGTCTCCTCTTTGTCTGGTTGTCTATCCAGCTGCATACACTCTTTTTCTCACTCCCTCTCTCCCTGTTTGGGGTCACCGTGGTATGTTCAGTTTAGGATGAGCTGGGCTTGTTAGGACCAGTCTGTGGAATGTGCCCTCCATACCGATGCCAGCTACCTGTTGATCAATAATCTTCTAATAACATTAATTAAGGATTGTTACCTATGTAGCTGGCACGGCCACAAAGCCATTACAGGCACAAAAAACTGTATGACAAAACCCAGATATTGACACATTCTTACATGTTTATTTAAACAAATATTGTTCCAGTGAGCGTCAACCCTAACACTCAATGTCCCCCCTCCGTTCAACTTTAGAGTTTGCTCCAGTACCCTTTCATTTTCCACCCAACACCCGCAGAAGCTGCTCGCCCACCATAAGATTTTATTTCAGAAAAAACTTACAATACTGGAGCGCTTAATATACACAGTTCTACAGGGGTAAAGTAGAGTTATTTAACAATTGTGTATTACACAGTATCTCTTTAATTGCCTGCTACCACACTTCAAAGTGATCCCTTCACCACATACAAAAAATAGAAATTTTAGTGTTAAGAAGTGGAGCAATGTTAGAGCTAAAGGACAAAACCCCTTTCCCACATGCAATCAAGTAATAAAAAAATAAATTTATACTTATATTGCTTGTTGCTTAATATCCCAATTCAAGCTCAGCATATATGGGAAAAAAATATATGAAAAGGATCATAGAACAGATCTGCATGGATCAGTGAATATTATTGAATTCTATAAACACTGAATTAAATCAGCTTAATTAGCTGGATGAAAGTTTATTACAGTATTGCCACAAATTAAAAACAGAAGATAATAATCAATACATAACAGGCTATAAAAAGTAATAAAAGAATGATAATAATAAAAACATAAAATACACCTAAATTCACTGTTTAGTTGACATATGTTTAGCAGATTACTGCTTAATTGATGCAACAGTGAAGCCAAACACTATCAAAATGTATAGCAGGTTACTGCTTACTAGATGTGGCGGTGAGTATAACGGTGTAAATCCGTTTACCCACAAACAGGTTTTCCCGCACTGGGAGATGTCTCCTGTACCAGAAGATAGCTGATCGTCTGTGGGGTGCCTTTTTGTTTTGTCCGGATGGCGTCTGGTCTTGCTTCTGCTTTTTTGAAACGCCGGCTTCTGAATAGGCTCTGCCCCCTTATTGACGTACTTCCGTATCAGATACAGTGCGGGAAAACCTGTTTGTGGGTAAATTCAGTGTTTATAGAATTCAATAATATTCACTGATCCATGCAGATCTGTTCTATGATCCTTTTCATATATTTTTTCCCATATATGCTGAGCTTGAATTGGGATATTAAGCAACAAGCAATATAAGTATACATTTATTTTTTTATTACTTGATTGCATGTGGGAAAGGGGTTTTGTCCTTTAGCTCTAACATTGCTCCACTTCTTAACACTATAATAAGATTTTATTTCTTCATGCTGTACACCCTGAAAATCTGTCAATTCAAATTTACCCTTACAATCTGAATATTTCATCTCAGAATATTCTCATTCACAGAGAATCTGTCCATTTAATATGAGTATTCCCATTCACTGCAGCCCCACGAACCACCGCAGCTTTGTTGAGGTCTCGCTGTCTCCTACCCACCCTGGACCTACGACAATGCTCCAGGTTCCAGTGGGTGAACCTGTCTTCCTACGAGAGAGCGAAGCAGGAACAAGCTCTTGCAAGAGCTCAGTAAAGCTAAGGGAATATGCAGAGCATAGCAATCCCTGTAGTGAATATAGCTGTCCCCTCCAAACATGAGTCGTGGCTGCGAGTTGAGGATCAATGAGCACAAGGGTATTTCTCATATATATATATACACTTCCCCCAAACAGGTTAATTTGTAGAGCCAGGTTATAGTGGGGGGAACAGGTTAATTTGTAGAGCCAGCTTAATTTGTAGAGCCAGGTTATAGTGGGGGGAACAGGTTAATTTGTAGAGCCAGGTTATAGTGGTGTCTTCCTACGAGAGAGCGAAGCAGGAACAAGCTCTTGCAAGAGCTCAGTAAAGCTAAGGGAATATGCAGAGCATAGCAATCCCTGTAGTGAATATAGCTGTCCCCTCCAAACATGAGTCGTGGCTGCGAGTTGAGGATCAATGAGCACAAGGGTATTTCTCATATATATATATACACTTCCCCCAAACAGGTTAATTTGTAGAGCCAGGTTATAGTGGGGGGAACAGGTTAATTTGTAGAGGTTAATTTGTAGAGCCAGGTTATAGTGGGGGGAACAGGTTAATTTAATTTAGAGAGCCAGGTTATAGTGGGGGGAACAGGTTAATTTGTAGAGGCAGGTTATAGTGGGTTACAGGTTAATTTATAGGAGGAACAGGTTATAGTGGGGGGGAACAGGTTAATTTGTAGAGCCAGGTTAATAGTGGCAGGTTATAGTGGGGGGAACAGGTTAATTTGTAGAGGCAGGTTATAGTGGGAGGAACAGGTTAATTTATAGAGGCAGGTTATAGTGGGAGGAACAGGTTAATTTGTAGAGCCAGGTTATAGTGGGAGGAACAGGTTAATTTGGGAGGAACAGGTTAATTTATAGATTGGGGGGAACAGGTTAATTTATAGAGGCAGGTTATAGTGGGAGGAACAGGTTAATTTGTAGAGGCAGGTTATAGTGGGAGGAACAGGTTAATTTATAGAGCCAGGTTATAGTGGGAGGAACAGGTTAATTTGTAGAGGCAGGTTATAGTGGGAGGAACAGGTTAATTTATAGAGCCAGGTTATAGTGGGAGGAACAGGTTAATTTGTAGAGGCAGGTTATAGTGGGAGGAACAGGTTAATTTATAGAGCCAGGTTATAGTGGGGGGAACAGGTTAATTTGTAGAGCCAGGTTATAGTGGGGGGAACAGGTTAATTTGTAGTGGCAGGTTATAGTGGGAGGAACAGGTTAATTTATAGAGCCAGGTTATAGTGGGGGGAACAGGTTAATTTGTAGAGCCAGGTTATAGTGGGAGGAACAGGTTAATTTGTAGTGGCAGGTTATAGTGGGGGGAACAGGTTAATTTGTAGAGGCAGGTTATAGTGGGAGGAACAGGTTAATTTATAGAGGCAGGTTATAGTGGGAGGAACAGGTTAATTTGTAGAGCCAGGTTATAGTGGGGGGAACAGGTTAATTTGTAGTGGCAGGTTATAGTGGGAGGAACAGGTTAATTTGTAGAGCCAGGTTATAGTGGGAGGAACAGGTTAATTTGTAGTGGCAGGTTATAGTGGGAGGAACAGGTTAATTTGTAGTGGCAGGGGATTTGCAGGCAGCAGCTTGAGTAATTGATGAGGTAAAGGCCTCATGTAGGGTCACAGGACATCGCGTTCTGAGACAGTGTTTACATGTCATAGGGTTATACTTGCCTGCAGAGAGTTCCACTTTCATGTTCTGCAGGTGGTAGAGCTAGCAGGATGTTAACCTTGTGCTGTCTGGGTTATCACCTTGGTACATGAAAAACGCACACTGTCTATACACACAAACTAAACCAGAAAAATCAGAGACAAAACTTTATTTATATATTAATTCTACTAGTTTAACCCTTTAGTGATCAGACCGCTATTCAATTTTCTTACCGTTAAGAACCAGGGCTTTTTTTACATTTCTGCGGTGTTTGTGTGTTAGCTGTAATTTTCTTCTTACTCATTTACTGTAACCACACATATTATATACGGTTTTTCTCGCCATTAAATGGCCTTTCTAAAGATACCATTGTTTTCATCATATCTTATAATTTACTATAAAAAAACCTAACTTCCAAAAATGACCTCCAAACTCTGTTGGGCAAACTCGAGGCCACGTTCCTATCCAAAATGGACGCAATGGGCTTGGACGTCCATCAACTGAATCTACGGGTCACTGACCTAGAAGAAGAAAGGGAAGTGTTACAGGCGCAAATCACAAATATCTCGACGACAATAGAATCTCATTTAACTCACTACACCTATACCCAAAGACACAACTGACGACTTGGATCATCGTGGATGTAGGAACAACCTGCGTATAAGAGGACTTCCAGAAACCCAGGGAGAGAATCTAACATCAACACTCTCCGATCTCTTTAACCTCATACTGGGCGAACCAAGAGATAACACCATAATGCTAGACAGAGCTCACCGCTCTCTGCGCCCGAGAGGCCTGTTAGCAGATGCCCCAAGAGATATTGTATGTCGTCTACATTATTTCTCCTTTAAGGATACCATCCTAAAACTTCTAAGAGAAACCTCACAACCGCTATTATTTCTCAACCATCCTATACAGATATACCCTGACTTATCGTGGTATACACTGCAAGCCAGGAGAGCTCTAAAACCAATTACTGAACTGCTAAGAAACCGAAACATTGAATATCGTTGGGGATTCCCTTTTGTTCCAATAGTCTCTAACAAAGGCAACACACTCACGATCACCTCTCCAATAGACGTCCCTGCTTTCCTCCAAGCCCTGGATTTACCAACATCATAGATTGGAACTCACCTCCTCCAAACCAGGATACATTCAGCCTTCCACAATGTCAGAGGTGGCTCACCCCTGCTAAAAAAAGGCAGGAATGACCAAAGATTCCAGTCACTGCACCAGCGACCGGGAGACACCCGTGATGACCCCCAAGGGTTATTCAAGACTACTTGACACAGTAAGCGTACTTCCATCCATAAAATCGCTAACTTTTCCAACAGCCTAATTATGGACTGTCCGGTCCCCCCCCACCTCATTAACTCCCACTCCACAAACCCCCACCCCCCCACCTCACCTGCACCAACAGACTCATGTTCCTAGTACAACGGACCCCAACACAAGAGATATATCCCAGCTAAAGAACTAAGAGCCTTCTCATGAGCTCCAACGCAGACCTCGCCACACCTCCTATACCCACCTGTCGTTCCAGGCGAATGTGACTACTAGAACACCTAATGACCGTTCTACTCAGCAAGAACAAAACAATCCACGAACTCCAATCCTCTACTCCGTAGGGGCGGATTTGAATCTAAAACCTGGCAATCTAAGAATCGCTATCGAACTGACTCTGTTCGCTCATCCATCTGGAAACTTACGAACATTTAACCCACAACTTAATTCCAAGATCGTGACATACAAAGTCAGGACGTATAAGCGCAAATGTTTATATTATTAACAAAAATGTATGACCATGCTGAGGTAAATCATACAATAAAGCCTATACATGTGTAATAACCGTACCTGCACATATCACATACATATATATGGGACACATGTCTGTCTGTTTATTCCACATCAAATAGCGAGGGCAATTGTACAAATAGAGCAATCTATAAATGTATTGAAGCAAGCACAGCTTATACGCTGAAGTCGTTTACCACCTACAAACTCGGGAAGAGAGCATATTTAATGCCCATAGCATACACCTTCGCCCACTTATCTAACAGACAAGTTGTTACTTGGCAAAAACTGCCTAGATATACAAATACTTACTTACAAATTGGTTACAAATCTGCAATCCTTACTATAGATAAATACTCTTCACCTCTTCCTCAAAGTATCAGATATGTGATTTCTACGATTCACACCTGCCCGACTATTTCCATACAATTAGTCATTGGGGAAATGTATATCAATATGTCCGTATATGGAAACTGAACCCTTACCTACGCTTTCTGATAAATGCATTATAAGAGAGTTACTATAGCTCTCAAATTGAAGCATCTCACCGTTGACGACACTGTTATATAAATATGGCCAACGCGTCAATGGAGAGACCGCTCATCCACCTCCCGCACCTTTCCCACCTTATTACCTCCCTACCATCTTTCCCTCCACCCATGCCCAGTCCTCCACTCTTACCGGACTCATAGCCCTACTAACGTAACCTAAGACTACAACTCTCATCTCCCATTCACCAACATATGCCTCCTAAAAGAATAATAAACGACTAGGATATCACAGTCCCGGGGACAAAGCCAATAGCCACACCACCTCAGCTCTTGACGTCCAGACTGATCTCATTTTTGCTTCTTTACCTTTCCACTTTTCTTCTTTATTCTTTCTGTCTACAATATCGCCAACCTTTAACTACCCCAGATCTTCACTGAAGGAAGATCTCCCGAACCCATCACCTAGACAGCCTGCTACCAGGAACTCCCGACATAGCGGGAGGATCCGGAAGTCGGCACACTAACCCAGCACACACTAACTTAAAACTGACCACATCTATCCGTAAGTGGTGTTGTTCTTATTATACAAAGTTGTTTACTATTTACCCTGTTTTTCTTTTTATCTAATTCTGTATATATTTACACGCAGCATTTGCGCTGGATTTGGATGTGGTTCTAGAAGGGTGATTACAAACCCTTCACAGATAACACATATACCGCACAAACGCAGATACAGCATTCGCATAAAACCCACATAGGGGACAGACTCAAATTTTAAGAAGCTAAACCTACGTCAATACACAATCCAACCCACCCCATTCTTCCACAAAGCAACACTACCCCTTACAACAAGCCTAGTGAGTGACATTGTTTACAACTATACAAAGCAACACAACCACCCTGCATACCGCACACAACTAGGAACGTCTCCTAGAAACCCACCTTACAGGGATACAGATCTTTAAGTGAGGAGAGGACACACAAAAAAAAATGTCGTCTCTCACCATACTCACACAAAATGCTAAAGGCCTAAATACTCCCGAAAAAGCAAAATATTGCATTAACAGACTTCCGCAGACACAAGGCGGACATAGTTTTCATTCAGGAAACCCACTTCCGTAAGGACTCAGCAAAT